ACGTCGACTTTATTTTAACATTAATAATGCATATTCAGAATTTTGTTTTTTCTGTATTTTTCTTTCATACTGTCGGATTTATATCCATATATTTGCTTATATATATATATATATATATATATATATATATATATATATATATATATATATATATATATATATGCGTGTGTGTATGTATGTAATTGTATATTTAGACGAGAAACCCTCATTTATAAAAGTCTCATTAATATCGACTGACAAAGTACTTCGGTACTGTTATACTTTTTGCCATTATCAAGGAAGAATTTTTTTTTAAATTAAAATGAATGAATGAAGCCCACACTTAATAATATCAACTATGAATACGGCCACAATTTGCTGACCGTGTTTGGAAAATAAGACATTCCTATAACTGTAGATACGTACATAAAACAGTCCATATATTTAGTTAAAAGTAAAAATAAAATAATCCTTGATGATGGCTAAATGTAAAACCCGAAGAAGTCGGACATGCAAAACATTCGGACATTTTCTACATAATTTACGTCCGGAAAATAAGAAAATTTATCAGAACACAAGAAAATTAAATAAAAAAATTAACTGCTGTGCCCTGTCAGTCTCTTTATATATATATATATATATATATATATATATATATATATTATTTAGGAAGCAATTTTTCATTGATGCATGTTTCATTAAATAATATAGACAAGTTTTGTCTATTTATTTTAAGTAAGTTCCTTTCATATTGTCTGATAAGCTTAATAACATTATCATGGAAAGACGAATTATAAATTAACTGATTTAAAATATGTTTTTCTCTACACAATAATAACCATGTTTGAAAAATGGAAGCTAAAATCTTTAAATTTAATTATATAATTAAATTAAAAGCATTAGTTCCGTTTCACCTTCAAGCGAATATTGGAATAACTTATTTTTTAAATTTACTGACTTTTAAACGCACATATAAATAAATTCATAATTTCCTGTTTCCAAGGATACAGAGAAATCCAATCATTCTGACAGGGGTGATAGCCTGTTCATTTTTAACTATTGTTGTATCAATTATTAGTTACGTTCGAAAAAGAGGTTAAGTTTAATATTTATGCTCAGTAAATTTACATTCAGCACTGATTTGTAAAAATAAAAAAATATTAATAAGAACACCGGATTATATCGTACTGTTCTTTTGTTTATTTTACATATATATATATATATATATATATATATATATATATATATATATATATATATATATGTATGTATGTATGTATGTATGTATGCATGCATGTGTGTGTGTATAAATTGCGTATAAAACTTCATTCATCGATATTTTGGAATGAGATTTCTATGAAAATCTTCCATCTGAAATTTCTTTGAGGCCATCCAGGAAGGTAGTGGCAACTGAGCTTGATGTTTCTTTCATTTACTGAATAAATTAACAATTAAAATTCGACAGAGAAAGTATCTGAACACCTAATGTATGTATCAGGTAAATATCTATGGAATTTTAAAAATTTATCAAAATTTAATATAGAATTACATTGAACGTATTTATTAAAACCTTTCTTTGTAAACAAAATAATAGAAATATTTTCTTTCCCGTAAAACGTCACTATATCCTAAATAGGTTTTCAAAGAAAATTCCTTCGAGAATTGAAATAGGTTTAATTATAAAAACAAATTAACCGCTCGAAATTATGAACTAAATCAGAAAAAAACGTAAATTAAAATCAAGCAAAATCTTGCTTTATTTATAATTTTGTAATTTTATTTCTTAACTTAAATTGATGAAGAAGAAAACGTTTTCGTAATGATTTTCAGATTTAATAGAATTTTAAGTATTTTACATTTTCTTTCAAATCACTGTTTTTATTCCTTCTCCGTTTAATTGAGTGAAATCTTGTTTTAAATAATAATTCTCTTTTAATAATCGATGAAGAAAAATAAGCTTTATCTCATTGGGTCGTCGCAAAAGATCGTCGAAATTCTAAGTAAATTCCAAGGAATATCTTTAAATATTTGAACACAGATTTATTCAGCCACTTATATAACATTCTATTCCACTTACCAGCTTTCTGGAACTTGGCATCTTTCTGAGTGACGAATTGTTCTAAGTGGTTTTTACAAGTTGCCAAAGAACTAATGTTCTTTCAGGTAAGATTTTTTTGGATCGAAATAAATGGTCATGAAATATCAGGTTAGTACGACGGGTGTAATAGAAGATTCTAATTTAATCCTGATCAGTAATAGGATTTGAGGTCTGGTGTTGTCCCGAAGAAGACAACGCCATCCTGAACTATAATTTCGAAACGATTTTCGTCGATTGTTGCTTTTAATTGATTTAACTCAGAAAAGTTCTTTTCGGAATTCAATTTTTGATCTTTTGGAAGGAGTTCTTGATATTTATTTCAATGTCCTTCCAGTCCCAGCAGATACATAGCCTCACCTGCGAATGCTGAGCGCTATTTTATGGTTTTAGTGTTGCGGCTCAGACCAGACATCAGGTTCGTTTTAATGTGCCAGTTTCTTCTAGTCAAACGTTAGTGGCTTAAAAATAACTCTTTGGACAGATCATCACGCCCGAAAATAAAAACATGAGGCAATGTAGCAGTCGGCAAATATTATTCTGGCTGAAAACCTGCTGCAGATGAGCAAGGCAGAGGTGAGGCTAGTTTAGTTTCTCGTGGAAGCAATTAGTCTTCTGTCCCTCTCTATGTCTTACTGTTTGTCTATCCTATAAGGGCTAATGTCTTATAGAGACACCGAAGACTTGTCAGCTTTATCTAAAAAAGTAATTCATCAAGAACCTAGTTTCACCTACTGACCTTATTTGTTAGGATCGTTTGACCTGGGCTTGCGGGTCCACTCCATTAAGCTGAAGTACTTTGCAAAGACAGATAATTGTCAAGGCGATTTCTTTGAACTGTTTGCAAGTGGGCCCTTAGTAAGATAGCAGCTGAGAGTTTATATTGCAACAAGTGGCAGAAGATGGCCCATTGTAGTGGTAAAAGGTGTTTTTTTTTCTTATTACCTTTCTATCTCTTTGACTCTAAATTATTAACTACAATCACTTTTTTTATCAACTGAGATCGCCCTTTTAAAAAACGGGTGGATCTTTGTTACGTTTGAACAGAAAATCACAAACTGAATTCCAATCAATTTCTATCTGTTAAACCGTGAAGCTCTGAATCATAATGACTCATGTCGCTAAATGTTTTCAAACGGAGATATAGGAATTACCTTTGCTATGTTCCATGTAGCGTGTCCTGGATTAGTTTTAATCAGCGTTTCGATATGGTTAACATCCAAACCTCCAGGCCCGCATTCTCCCTCTTGCTTATCGAGATTATTCCCATCTGGTCCTAATGAACAACCTACTAATAATATTCTCAAGTATGGTACATTTTATTTTCTGACTTTTATTTTCATTTTTCCTTTCCGGTAATAAGAGAACGTCAAATGAAGAACACATTTTCTTCGATTTATAATTTTAACGTTAAAACGAAGACATTTACTATTAGCTTTCCGCACACAAATTTTATAAAAACACGCATTTCTGTTCAGCCGCTATAGCACAAGGGACTCACATTTTCCGGCTATACCAGCATGACAGTTCCGATCACAACTAGCATCTATTTTTCTCTGCACGTAATAATTATAAACGGGTCCTAGAAGTGGTTAAATATTTTTTTTTGCTGATAGAATAAGGCACCGTATAGCCCCTAACAATTTTAGCTCTCTTAGTAATATGTATCTTCAGTATATCACACGCTTACGAATTTTTTTTTAAATTTTTTAATTGTTTTTTGGGCTAGATTTATCGCGTCAATTTTTGGTGGTGTTGATCTGCGTTTTATTACATATTAACCCTTTGAGAGATATTTAAAACGAAAACATTTTAGATTCTAAGAATAATTATTTTTCTAAATATATATTTTATTTACGCATTTTGAAAATAACAATAATTTTTCCAGACAATAGTTCTGCTATGTAACACATAAATGATGGAGATTAATCCATATCATCCCCAAGGTTATTTGTGCGTAAGTAAAAATAACAAACCCGAATAAGAACCTCATTTAGATCAACTAATACACCACCCGCATATCCAAACAATCTTTGGTGATAGAATCTCTCAAACCTGATTACAAATAATAGCTATTTTTATTTAAACAAAAAGACTCGAGAGGCTGAGAGAATGAAGACCATAGACTTTTGTGGAAAATAATATGTCCTCTCAGCAGGAAAAAGAAACCACGCTTGTTTCGATAATAGAGTCAAAATCTTATTGGTTGCATGAAAAGAGGTTCGTCTGATCGATTGATAGAAACAACTTTTGAGTTTGACAATTGAAAGCCTAGTCTACAGAATCTCCAGACAAGACCTCTTTCGTTTTTGCGCAATAGACGACATAGTCACAGTAATTATATTTAGAATATATGTATTTAGGAAACTTAGTTTAGTTTGGAGTATTGCCTCATCAAACAAAATCGAACTCATTAACAATGGATGGCAAGACAAGGTTGCCAGGGCAAAACTACTGAGGAAGCAGTTATTCAACGTGATTTACTTCGAATGAACAGAAAGAATTGTTATATAAGAATCCGACATGACATTTCACCTCAAGGAACAGACATAGGTGCTCGAAAATTCTCCATAACTTTAACATATCCAAAGATAAACACATACGTGTGTGTTGTGTGTGCTTTCCCGCGTGTCTGCGTATATGAATATATACGCAGGCATTTTTATTGATTTGTTTTTTTGTTTTTTTTTTACGGCCTATCAACCGTTTGCAGGTTATTTAAAACCAAAAAATAGCTTTAGATTATAATAATTTTTTAGGAGATAATAATGATTTACTGATACAATTCATACTAATTAACCAATAGCTGTCGGGAGGGAAAGGCGGGGGTCATAAATTTCCCAAGGGTACTTGCCCATAAGAGATTATAACGAACCCGGCTTGAATCAGCACATCTTTATCCATTACACTAGCCGAACATCGAAGGTTACGGCATCTGGTATTCCCAAGCGGTTATCCATCTTGGTACTAACCAGACTTGACGTTGCTTACCTTCGGTGAACGTACGAAAACCGGTGTTCGAACATTTATATGACCGTAAGCAATAGACATACATACGTATATACATGGCAGGTTACTCGTTTTTCGATTAGACCTAGCTGGTAGGACGGTGAACCAATCCCTGTTGCTGGCTCCTGCTCTTGGACATGCATGTTTGTTCAACGCTTACAGAATCCATCTTTGGTTTCAACGAGCCGACGCGCGGTTTCTGTTGCAGCTATATTGAATGAATTTTAGTTGATCGACACTTTGAATAACGCAAGTTTTCAACAACCCTCAGTCACAAACATTAACGGCTTTCAAACAGTTCTGTATACCTACTTTCACTCGGAAGTCTTGGGTCAACCCATGCTATGGTTTTCGGGTACTTTCCAAAACTTTCAAGGTTTCTTCTCAGCCTAATAGCATCAAGAACTCGCCTTTCTATGCAAATTAAACCCAGGTTTCAACGTTCTGACTACTTAAATACATTTGGAAAAGACTAAGTACTATTTTCCGATTGTCTAGATTATTCAATTTGTCTTCTCTACAGATTTATTCTGAGAACTTTCACAAATTGTCGAAGTTGAAAACGAAAACACAACCTTAATAAAAAAAATAAGAACAAGTTATATTATTCAAAAACAGGGTTTCGCAAGAGCGTCTTTTAAAATTTTCAATTTCGTGTGACTATACATTTCCCTTTTTTTCTAATCATTTGCCTTGATAAAGTCGGATGACGAATCGCCTCGGCAAGGACTAAATACTATTTTCAAGGTGGGATCTAGATGCCAATCTAGTATTTGCCGTGAAAATAACGAAAACGTAGTGAGAGTCTAGCAGTGTTTCATTTGTATTTGCATAGTGGAAAATAATTCATCACTTACAAGGCCGCAAAGCGCTTTTGAAATCTCTCAAAGATGAAAGGTGAGGTTTGGGCAGTTTCATCCCAGATAGCACAGTAAGTGTGTGAAAAGATTGAATATCGGGATGATTGAGGAAAGGACAAAATATGAACGAGATTTCAAAAAGATAGATGGCGATTGACGTTGCATTTAAATACTTGAAGATTATAAGTAAATTAAATTATATATTAGAAAATGTACTTATATATTAGTAAAAGTATCATACACATTTTAAAATCCGTGTGTGTGTGTGTGTGTGTGTGTGTGTTCATTAAACCGACCTAAATGTTTGAACTTAAGAGAAAAAATTAAAATTTAATAAAGTTTTGCGTTTCACATAGCGTCAAACAAGTCGTTTATTGATAAGTGGAAACTTTTAAATATCCAATCCAATGTTTTAAAATGTGTTTCAAATGTCAGTTCATTTTTATTCCTTTCGAAATATGGATGGTGAGTAGTAGAGTTCAAGGTTATTTCCAGTATGTAAACCCATGAATTTATGAGATCCGATTTTGTACTGTTAATAACATAAACGCTATAGTTCTGCCATTCGTCTGTGCATAGAATATTGTTGCCACATCTGATCTGTTGTTTGTTTATATTCCAGACATAATCCAAAGAAGCTTTTTCAATATTATCGGCCCCGATCTGACCTATCATCTTCAAACACATTCTCACCATTGTAGCGTAGATTCCCCGTGCTTTTTTCTACAATATTAATTGGTTTGATAAGCTTTCCTCTTCGATAAATCGACTTCATGAATAGCGCTAAATTGACAGTTTGATTTCATTAAACCTTTGTAATGAGTTACAATCTAATATTCTTTCTCTTGAACTTCTCGCCTGCGGATATCTCTTCCAGTATCTTACTTTCCAGCCAACTATAATCTATAAAAGTTTTAATGCAAACTCAGCTGACTTCATGTTTCTCTTTGGAGTTTGATCATTTCTTGTCAGTTTCTGTCACTCTATTTTCCGTCATTCTTAGTACCCCCCTTACATCTCTTTATCGCCTTAATTTTTTATCTTTCATACCTCCGAGCTATGGATTAAATGCAGGAATTTTATCTGGAAAAATCATTTTTATCTCCCAAAAATTATTAATGCAATATTTACCTCCTCCAAAAATAATGAAAAATTATTCTTACAATCCAAAGAGAAAATATGTTCCCGCTTTAAATAACCCACAAAGGGTTGATAAACCGTAAACAAAAAACAAATCAATTAATCAACTTGTTTATCCCTCGACAGAAGAGAAGCCGTATAATGTAGAGCATTTAACAAAACGTCCAGAGAAAGACAAAAAATATTTTGTAAATGGGACCATCATTCATTGAGTGTCAAGAAAAAATAGATTTTTTGAAGAATTTCTGGAAAGCATCGTATCTTTAGCCATTTATTCTTGTAGATCATTAGAACTTTTTAATGTATTCGCTCCTCAATAGGAGCTCAAAATTAAAAGACGTGTGTCAGAAAAATCTTATATTACATCGGAACATGAAGAAGCCTGAAATGTAATGATTAAAAATAATTCCGCGGAATGGATATTCATTTTCGGATATAATCTTATTGCTTGTCAATGCACTTAATACATTAATTCCCATTGTCTCATATTTGAAGCAGTGAGCTTGAATGGATTGAAAGTAGAAAAATATAATTAATACGATATTTTTTATAAATCTATAATACCGCATTTTTTATAAACGTATCTCTCCTAGACTATTTTATTGACTAATAACTAATAACATAAGTTTATTCATTTGTAGATAATAGTAAAATACATTGAATTTTAAAGGGTGGAAATCTCCTATTCAAAATGCTGCTAATATCTCCCCTTCAGTCTGTGGAGATAGATAGATAGATAGATAGATAGATAGATAGATAATAAAAAGGAACAGATAGCTATAACCTGCTACGTTTTCCATTCAAATAAATTCTTTTATTTATTTTATATATTTGAATAAACATGACTATGTGAGTTTGTTTTGTGTAGTTAAACATTAAGCCTGATTTTTTAATTCTTTATTTTTTTCAAAGCAAACTTATTCATTGACTTAAAGTTTATCAATAACGGAACTCCAGCGAATACAAAGTCGTTTTTCGGTAATGTATCAGAGACTTGATAAAGAATGAAAAAATTGATTCGAAATTGATTTAGGGCGTGAATCGAAGCCGGTAATTGCTTGTCTACTCCGGAAAAAATTAAAGATTTCGACTCCAAAGCAGAGAACGAGAACAATATATCCCTTTCATTATCCGAAGTTAATATCAACAAGAATGAGACAACTGAATCGAGAGCATTCATTAAAGAAATGTAATTATATAAAAGTTGGGACAATAATAAACACAAAATTACTTAAGATATAATCTCAAGAGGAAATTCACTTGGGAAAGTAGATTTGAATTTTAAGTTTATCTTTTTTCTTCGAGCAAGGCGAGAGTGCCACTAGCACGCAAGGGGTTAGAGAGTGAGAGTAAAATAAAGAGTGGTGCTTTTGTAAAAGATATACAGAAGGATGGGGATCAGGATCAAGGCATCTTATGATCTCGATTGATATCACATTTGAATATTTCAAAATTATAGTCATCAGAGGAGCAAGTAAGAGGAAGGGAGTTTCACTGTCGGGAAGTTCGAGAGAAGAAGCTGATGGAGTAGAAGAAGCGGTTACATTTTACTGTTTCGACAGTGAAAGGGTTGGACCTAGATGCCAGACTAGTAGCACGCTTAAATTCATTGGGGTACCAATGAAAGTAGCTCGTCACAGCAGTTGCCATGAAAATATTTTTAGAAAAGACAGAGGGAGGCCACATCACGTCTGTGAGTAAGTGTCTGTAGACGAGATGCCAAACCAAGACTTATCATATTGCATATCCGTCTCTGGATTTGTCGAGGACCTCGAAATGAACAGCAGGGGCACCTGACTATATATGGCAACAGTATTCAATGCAAAAACGAATGGTAGACTCGTAGATTTGAAGGATGGACTCAGGCGAGAAAACACTTCTGGCATGAGACAGAGAACCAACTTTCCTTGCCTAAACATAAAAATCTAAGTGGCGTAGCCACTCGAATCTGAGGGTACTCGTCTACTAGGGCGGATTGCTAATTCCCGTTGCAGACGCCTGTTCAGTCACATTTTTGTTTGTTCAACTACCAACAGACCTCACCTGTGGTTTATACTGCAACTATGCTGAGCAGACCTATTAAAACAACGCGTACTCAATTCCGGAAAATCCTTGTTGACAACACAGCTATATTAAACATAAATTAAAAAAAATAAATAATAATAAACAAAAATTAATAATTCTTGTAGCTTTATACATAAAACAGTTGAAACCTAACCTGAACAATATAAACTATGAAATCTCAACAAATATCCTGAAATGCTTATAATTTATAACAGAAGCCATTGGTTTATACCAACGGCTTCCCATACTTAATACTTCTCGTTTTTCACTCTCGCGCGAATGTGTGACGTCACCAGCTGCGACGCAATTGTCGCTTCCTTGTCTCGTAAATACGAGTTACTTTGAGCTTATTCAAGCTGCAAAGGCAGACTATTTTAGTAGTTTCGTCTGTGTGTCGTCTTTCATAATGGCTTATGTAAGCCGAAAGCTTAGATTGGATATAAACATGTATCAATATGGTGTTTTCCTTTTGTCTTTCAATGATAATGTTATTAAGCTAATCAGACAATATGAAAGGAATTTACTTAAAATAAATAGACGTAACTTGTCTATATAATTTAATGAATATATAATTATTATAATTATAATGAATATATAATTAATATTATTATAATTATATAATTAATATAATTATAATAATGAATATATATAATATATATATATATATATATATATATATATATATATATATATATATATATATATATGCAATTTTAATAATATATTATTTATATATTATTCCTGATATTCTGTGGCAAATTCTTATGTTTTCTTCATTTCAGAAACGTTATAAAGCTCAATATCAGACAATAGAAGGCTGCATTTTAAAAATTTTCACATATTTATCGTTGGAATGATGTGAGTTTGTGATCCTGGGTTTCACGCTCTGTGGATTTTTGTTTTTTCAAAATTTCTTCATTCTGTCATCAGACAAACTGATTAATTTTAAATTTTGTATTTATTTATA